AAATAACGCGTTTTATTCGACATTTATTCTTTTAATGTTCACTTTAGGCTTTTTTTTTAATTAACACTCTTACTTTCTGTATGCATCTTTTAAATGATTAAAATCGTTACTTACAAAAAAAATATTATACAGTTTGAGAAAAGAAATGATTGTAATGTGATTTGTAGATTTTGATCCTCCTAACATCAATGACAGGACTTTCATGATCATTAAGTTCATAAATTCGTGACCTATTGTCTAATGGATGGCATTTCACATGAATAGTCGGAGCATATTATTGTCAAAAAAGTGTTACCGATATAAATAAATGGTACTTCGTAAAGAACCATTGATATCTATTAAATATCGGAAACTAAAAAAAGATACTGTAAATTATAGCTTTTATAATAATCTAAATAACGTCTTATATATATATATATGTATGTACATATATATATATATATATATATACAGGATCGTTTGGTAAATTTTTATGAAATGGCGCTACAATCCATTTGATGACGCGACATCTCGAAAGATCCATTCTTCGAACCCCTTCAGGCCAAATTTCAACCAGAAAGGACGCACAGTTCACGTTTGGTAGTCATTTGAAGCGAGATTGGCGCGCAAAAAAGTGCTCTTCTATCAAGACAACGCGTCGTCCCACAAGTTGACCGTTGCAATGACAAAACTACGAATTGGGCTATGAATTGATTCCTCATCCCTACTCTCCGAATTTGACCTCGTGTGATTTCTTTCTGTTCCCAAACTTAAAAACTTGGCTCGGTGGGAAGAAATTCTCGTCAAATGAGGAAGTCATTGTCGCCGTCAATGAGTATTTTGCAGACTTTAAGACAGCCTATTTCAAATGACTACTATACGTGAACTATGCGTCCTTTCTGGCTGAAATTTGGCCTGAAGGGGTTCGAAGAGTGGATCTTTCGAGATTTCGCGTCATCAAATGAATTGTAGCGCCATTTCATGGAAATTTACAAATTTATCAAACGACCCACCAAACGACTCATAAATTAAATAAAATTACATAATATGTGGTCATGGCGCAATAGATATCATATAAAACGTCTAAAAGATCTCAACGACTATTTCTTCGTTGGATGAAAGTCGTTAGAGAAAGAGCGAGCTAAATTATATAAAATTATGTGTGTAGTGGAATGTGTGTTGCTTGAAGAAAATATTACTATCATTAATGGATTTCTTGCGTGCGTGCGTGCGTGCGTGCGTGCTTGAGTGCGTGCGTGCGTGCTTGCGTGCTTGCGTGCTTGCGTGCGTGCATAGTTAAAAAAAAACGGGGATAAACCCTCCGAAGGAGTAAGCGAAGCCGTTCATCTAGCCGAAGTGTGTCGCCACCATGACAGTTTCTTAGAGATTTCATACTCGCCAATCTCCAAAGAAACACAATCGATAGACATGACCACTTCCTCTGTCCTTGATTCTGCCATCCGAGAGATCCTTAGTAATGCTCTCTCAATTAAAGAACAATTCCTTTCTCCTCCACCGTACCAAGATTCCATATTGATTGGAATCAGCTTTTTTAGACTCCTCCTCTCCCTCCAACGAAGAGGATAAACTAATAATCTTATATATTCCAGGAAACCCCACCTCTTACATCGTTCTTTACAAGCACCTAATCTCAATGTGCTCCTGCATCCTCTTCCTCGCTTCCAATCCCCAGTCCTATCTTCCTCTTCTCCGATTCTCACACGCACATGCGCGCGCACGCACGCACGCACACATGCACGCGCGCAGTATAATGAAACCGAAGGGATTAAATATAGGTGTACGTTGAGTATAAATATATACATACCAGGTGTATAAGCTTAAATCCACTTTGCTCATAAGTGGCATTAGTGAGTGTACAAAGCTATCCTGGGCACACAACACACTTTTTTATGTTTGACATCTGTCAACATTAACCAGTGCACATCATCAGCAATTTCATACAACGACATTTTTTCTTTCGTAATCATGTTTAGTTTTTTGCTAAAAAAAAAGCATATGCGAGAAGCTTTGCTTTTCTGTTTCAATTTGAAGAAATCAGTTGCCGAATCGCATCGAATGCTTATGGAAGCCTATGGCGACAATGCTTTATCGGAAACAACGTACAGAGATTGATTTCGCCGGTTTAATGATGACAATTTTGACCTGAGTGACAAGAAGTCTGAAAATCTACCCAGGAAAGTTAAGAACTGTCAATTGCAGGCTTTTTTGGACAAGGACTCAATCGCAAAAAATGTTTGCCGAGCAATTGGATGTTTCTCAAGCAGCCATTTCCATGCGGATATATGCCATGGAGAAAAGATCGGAAAATGGGGTGCCGCATGAACTGAACGCATAATAGGCAGATGGAGCGACGCCAAAACACATATCAAATTCTGCTTGCCAGATAAAAAAGAAAGTCGATCCTGCATCGGATTGTGACAGGCGATGAAAAGTGGATCTATTTTCAGAATTCTAAACGCAAGAAATGTTGGGTTGATTCCGCCTAACCATCAACATCTTCCTCAAGACCAAATCGCTTCGGACGGAAGACGATGCTGTACGTTTGGTGGGATCAAGAGGGTGTCATCTACTACGAGCTATTAAAACCTGGTGAAACTGTTAATGCTCACCTACTACCAACAACTGATCAAATTGCACCGTGCTCTGCGTGAAAAAAGGCCGCATTATCGGAAAAGACATGACCAGCTGATTTTCCTCTACGACAACGCATCATCACACACGTCAACAATGGTCCAAAACTACTTGAAAACACTCAACTGGGAAGTGCTACTTCATCCCGCTTACTCACCAGACCTGAACCTTCTGACTATCACATCTGTTTTCGTCGATGCGCTCGCTGAGCGGCACTTCGATTCTTACGAAAATGATTTGATGAGTGGTTTGCCTCGAAAGATGAGGAATTTTTTTGGCGTGGTATACACAAATTGCCCGAAAGATGGGAAAAATGTATAGTTAGCAAGTACTTTGAATAAATTTGTTTTTGCTT